TCCCCCACAACCCCCTCCCCCCTCCGCACCCCCGCCCCAGGGGATGCACGTTCCCCAAGGTGGAGCTCTGCTGAACTGGAGTGGAGGATGGGGATAGTCCAAACCCTGTCCCCTGCCATTCTCAGACACAATCCCTGCCAGTAGGGTGGCCACTGACACACCCCCAGAATACATCAGGCCAATTAGCAGCAAGGGGTGGGGCACTGAGCCCCAGGAACAATCAACAGCAAGAGGCAGGACCACCACATAAAGGCCACCTCCCTCCCTGGTTGGGAACCCTGCTCCTCCTGGATGTGAACTGCCCTACCCTAGGCACAGCTAATAGAATTGTAAGGACAAATAATTGACGTGTATTTTCACCAATGAACTGAAAAACAAGACTTTTTACAGTCTGTTCCTCATTTAGAAATGGACAGGGGACAAAGCAGTGGTGATGCATAGGGGTTGCACGTGCACCCCCTGAGCACGCTGATGCACCCCCTGACATGTCCTGGTCCCCGCTTAGGCGAAGGGTGGGGGGAGGGTAGGTGGGAGCACCAGTGCCCCCCCTGCAAGCACCGGTCAGGGAGTGGGAGCACTGGATGAAGCACTGTGGTCACTTCCAGGAGCACCACGGACACTTTGCTGACTGGTTGCTGGGGGGGCACGTGCCTCACCTGACCTACATGGCACCAGTCACCCATGGGACAAAGAGTTTAAAAACAGGATGGTTCAGTATAAAACAGAACCCATGGCCACCCTACCTGCCAGCCAGGCCCACCCTCACCTGCCTCCTGAGAGTCCTGTCTCACTCGCATGCAGTACCCAAATGTTTCAGCTCTCTGACAGTCTCAGTGGACAGCAGTATGGAAAGCAGGATTGCCAAGTACCAATACATTTTACAGACTTCAAAATATTTTTATGGACTAGCTGGACAAGGGTTTTTAATCACTTCTTTTACAGATTGCACATACATTTATGGACAGTTGGCATGGCAACCCGTAGCCATGAAACACTGTTAGAGATTCTAGAATTAAGAGAATGATCTTCTAAACTCAAAAAGTACAATGCTGACTTTTGTCCCTGCAGTATTTTTGTGTCGGCAATAAGAATATAAGACCAGAATTTTTTTCTGTGAAGTTTTATGTTAATTTGTTTAGAGCATTTAACCCATTGGGTCCTTCCCTTAATTATTAGATTCTCCTGTGGGATACTGTAAGGGCAATATCAGTTCACGAACATTACTGATGTGCCTGTGGAGGAAAAGGATCCTCTAAATGAGGAACGGACTGCAAAAAGTCCTGTTTCTTCAGCTGATTGGTGGAACATCCAACATCCATTACTGATGTTCCTGTTTATGAACATTACTGATGTTCAAGGGAAAAGCTGCTTTTGCTAAAATTGAATCCAAAAATGCTGGGTCAATATATAATTGAAACAATACGGTAATTAAAAGCTGCTATAGGATTTAATCAATGAAGAACTAAACAAGAAGAGTAAAATTAATACCAGTTAATGTGGTTTTATGGAAAATAGATCTTGTCAAACAAACCTGACCTCATTCTTTGATGGGATTAAAAATGTGGCTGAAAAGGATAATTGTAAATCTAAGATACACTTTCATAAAGTACTGGTCTTGGTATTTCATGACATTCTGATTAAAAGTTAAAACTACATAGTACCCAAGAAGCTCACATTAAAACGATTAAGAACAGGCTAACTCACAGGTTTCAAAAAGTAGTTGAATTGTTCAGGATGGCTCATTCCCAAGTTATTTCAAGCGGACTTCCACAAGGACTGGCACTAGATGCAACACTAATCAACGTTTTCATCAGTGATCACAAAGCAAATATATATGCACTGCTTAAAAATTTTGCAGATGACACAGAGATGTTCAGAGCTGTAAATAACTGTGAGGATAGGGTAGTCATAAAGAGTGATTTGGTTCTCCTAGAGCCACTCAAACAAAATACATGCTAATAAGGCAAATCAAATGTTGTATATCTAGGAATATGTAATTTAGGTCATACTGACAAAATAGGGAACCATATCCTGAACAGCAGTAACTCTGAAAATGCTCTAGGGGTCAGAATGAGTAAGTAGCTCAACAAGAACTCTCTCTGGGAGAGTATGACAAAAAGGGCAAATGCATTTTTTTATTTATAAATAGAGGACCAATAGAAGGAGGTGTAGGAGTAATATACTGGTGTGTAGATACCATTGCAATTAGACTGTTACTGGAATACCAGGTATAGTTTTCATGTCTGTGTTTTTAAAAGGGAGATGGAAAAATTGAGGAGCACAAGAGAACCATAAAAATTATTTAAGGTCTGGAGAAAATAACTTATAAGGAGAGACCTAAAGAGCTGAATCTGTTTAGTCTATCAAAATAAGATTTAAAAGTGATTCAATCACTTCTGCAGGGAGAAAATGCTGTGCACTGAAGGGCTCTTTAATTCATCAGAGAATGGTATAACAAGAACCAATATCTGGAAGCTGAAGTCAGATTCAAATAGAAGGTAAGGTACACATTTTTTTAACAGTTGTTCAGAGAAATATGAGCTTTTTTAGGCAACAGCCTATGTTGTCAGATGTTATGTCCCTCTGAACATTAGTTAGTCTCTACATAATACCACACTACTGTACTTTCTGCCTGACCTCAAACTAATACAGCTGACTGCTTCTCCATTTTTTAACAATGAGAATGATGAATCATTGAAACAATCAACCAAGCAAATCAGCAGAGTCCCCATTTCTTGGCATCTTCAGACCAAACCTGTTAGCCTTTTCTAGAAGCTATGCTTCAGTTAGTTCCCAAACTTTTGGTAAGTCATGTACCCCTTTTTAAGTGTGTTACACTGCTGGGTTCCAGGTTTACTATCCATAACATGATTCCATAATATGGATAATAAAAAATAACTTGATGTCACTACCACCACACCGTGACCTCTGCAGCAAGCTAAGAGATACTATAGCACTGTTCTGTTTCTTCCATTTTAATTTCCCCTTTCCAGTTCCTTCTTCCCCAATGACCTGTAGAGAGTTTTGCTACCTATTCCTAGGGATGAATACACATGCCTTATTTTAAGAAACTTGTCTTTAGCCAAACACCACTTATTGGGTGATATGCAGGGATTCCTGAGTGAATCTAATGGCCTGTGATATGCAGGAGCCTAAAATCAGATGATATAACAGTCCCTTCAAAGCCTAAACACTCTGTATGCATGTAAATAGAACGTATCTATTAGGTCACCTAGTCTGTTGCCAACATGAGCTGAGTCTGTGCAATATAGTTCCTGATATGCTGTCTCTTGCAATACGGTGGTTGTCCACATACAAAGTTTACAAGCAGTTAAATGAATCCATTTTAAAAATTGGTGGGGCATCTAATACCTCCAGAAGAATTCAGAAATTAGTGCTTAGCCAAGTACCCAGGTGTCACGAGGCAACTGACCCCTCCAGGGGCAGGGGAGCTGATAAGTACGGTGCCAGTTGTGTTGCTCACCTGTCCCTTCTCCAACAAAACTGCTCTTCCCAGTATTTGACCCAGGCTGTACCTACTTCTTTCCCAGACCAGAGAAAGGCTAGACGCTCAGCTCATCCCCCACCCCAGCACTATGATGCAGTGGCTCTTGGCCAGGGTTGATGCCAGACCTCCCTTGGAAAATGCCAGCTCTAAGTTTCCACTGGTTTCTTTTGGCTCTAGAAAAATAAGGGAGGGATTCTTCTGCTGCCAAAACGGTAGCAACAGGGCAGAATGGGTTCAACTCAATGCATCCTTATTTCAACCCTTGGGGTTGACCTGGTGAGCCATGTGGGCATCCCTCCCAGCACTCCTGCTCTGGAGGCGCCCGGGGTGCCGTGGCATCCCTGCCCCAGCTGGTCCCATGAGGGCTGTGGCCCAGCACGTCCTGCTTGCTGCCTGCATCACTTGGGGTTACAGAGGGGTGCAGGCTGGCCCATGCACCAAGGGACTGGCTGGGCACGCTGGAGCCTGCCCAGCATTGCCAGGTCTCAAATATGAAACCATCATTTTGGAAGCTCAGACTTACCATGTTTGCTGAAAAACTATCTACACTGACACAATGTGCCACTAAGCCTACAACTAAACCTTCATTCTTTCCAGGAAGAGCACACACCAACTGCAGACGGTTCCTCAGGCTGACAATGGGTATTTATACCGGAAAGCTTGCAAAGAAGAATCTTTCCAATTCTTTTGAGTTGGACTAATAAAAGATACCAGATTTACCCAAAGAGCCTTGTCTGCCTATGTCCTTAGACCAACACCGCCACAACCTACACCCAAACAGACCATCTTCTTATTTACTTCATATTGCTCACTGTAACACACCAGTAAGTGCAAGTGTTTCTTTCTTTTGAGGCAAGCAGTCATAAGCAAGTGCTGCCAGCAGGCCCAAAAGCCAGTTAAAACTCCCCAGAACAACTTGGGCGCTGCATATACTGCATCAATGAACTACCTCAAAAATGATCCTACATTTTGAACACTTTGATTATTACTGAGCGTACATCATGCACGGGTTGAAATTATCGTCCCCCTGGCAACACTGAGCCTGCCCACAGGAGCAGCGCCCCTCACCCGCGACCTCCCGCTGAGAAGCAGCCAGCCAGCGGCACCCCCACCTGCGTCCGGCCAGAACGAGGCCCGCCCCGCCCCCTACCCACTCCTAGCCGCTGCCGCCTCCGCCTCCGCTGCAAGATGGCGGTTTCTGGGAGAGGGTTGTACGCATGCGCGCAGCGATCTCGGCTTCCGGGGGCAGTTGGGGAGCTGTTTGACCTTAGCAGCCATACGCCGCCCGGCCGCTTAAGAGCAAGAGGCGCTTCTGGCGGCGGCAGCCCGGGCCGCACCGGGCAGGTGAGTGGGCTGCGGAGGGGGGGCGAGGTGACGGCTCGCGGAGCGGCTGAGGGGAAAGGGGCTTTATGGGGGGGCTGGGAGTAAGGGGGAGAGCGGGACTGAGGGGGAGGAGGCCTGAGAGGGCGGGAGAGAGAGTCTGTGCTGAGTTCTCCTGGGGGCAGTCAGACGAGGGGAGCGGCACCTGCAGTCCTGCTGCGGCTGCTGTGACTGGGGGAGAGGGAAGTTGCCCTGGAAGTTTGGTTCACCCTGGGGCAACTCGTTTCATTTTTCTCCAGGGTGAGTTTTGTTAAGTGTGTGCATGTGTGTGAGTATGATGTAGCCGTGCCAGGATCAGGCTCGTGGCACTCCGGATCTCGCTCTCTGCCCCGCAGAGCTCCCCCTAGGTCTGGACACTTGCTACTGCTCCCCTGTCGTTGTATGAGGAGCCCTGTGGCCCAGATGACATGACAGCCAGGGGAGCTGGGAGTGGGGCAGGGACTGAGCAACCCTGAGTTAGTCTCATTCAGACCTTCAGAAAGGCAGCATCTTTTATTGGAGTACCTATGTAGTTGGGAGAGTGCCAGACAAGCTTTCCAATGCTAGACCTTCTTCACTGGGTTTCCTTCCTTTAGGTTGTTAAACCAACTTTCAAGGTACAGAGTGCTCTTCCTCAGATGCCAGTGAGGAAGGGAAGTTTGTGCCTGAAAAGCTGATATAATTCTCCCAACTATATACAGCTGTGCTATAAAAAAATGTTGGGATTCCAATTCACTTGTTTGTTTTGACATCAGGTATCCATGGCTCCATGGGCTGTAGGTTTGACACCTCTGAACTAGAGAAAGACAAGCCAGTATGGGAGGGAGGAAAGAAAACATAGATTTTTTTCCCTCCTGCTCCCCAGTTGTTGAGTGTCTGGAAATCCTATGGCAGCTCCCATTTGCTTCGAGTGATTGGCACCTCTGAAAATCAGGGCAGCTGTTAATAAGCAAAAAACGCTATTATTAGTTTTTCCAGCAGCTTCTTGCAGATGCTCAGGTCACCAAGGAGACAGACTCTGGATAGCTCTTCGGATACTTGGGGGAGTTTCCAGCCTTCACCCCATTAATCTCTAGGGTATCCTTAGATTGGAAAGGATTAGCTGAAGACTCCAACCTTGGATTAAGATATCTAGGATATTGCATTAGGGACTATTAAATTAAAAGCTCATCCCCAGACTACTGTCTTGCATCATCCTAGAGGTAAAAGCAATTTCATTGTTAATGTAGCTATTAAAAAGTAGATTGGAGAGGCATCACTGTGGCAGGGGTTATTGGTATGTTTCAAGATGGCGATTTGATGCAAAGTAAAATGATTAGCAGTTCCATGCTGCTTTTTAAAGTCTGAGCTATAAATGCAGGACTTGAGGATATTCCTACAGAAAAGATTGGTTCTGTGATTTAGTACAGTTTAGTGATGTTCTGCACCCAGAGCTGCTTTCTTTTGATACCAGACTACTGCTCTGCTTCCAACCCTCTCCCCTCATTAACCTTCCAATATTATTCTCCTTTAATTGTCCTTCTACCCAAAGCACTTCTGTTATTCGTGTACTCAGTTGACTTCCTGCCTACTGTCTCTAGCACTTCTGTGCCAGCAGGGGCAAGCCAAAAGGTATGATAGAATAGCAAGTCTTCTTCTGTGGTAGTGGTGCATGGATGGGATTCTTTTTTCTTTCAGTTAACATTGTTAAATAAAATGATTCCAATTAATTTACTAAAATGTACTTGCCCATGCCTTTCTGATTACTGTTGACTTCATACATTTTTGTAATATTTTATACTTATCTTGACTTGATTGTGGTTTTCTGGAAGCGGTTCTGCAGTATTTTTAAAGGAAGAACAAGGATTTTAAACTTTTGAAGTCAATCTAGTGCTCATGAAAGAAACCAATTTCATGTTCCTGTTGACACAAGATTTTAGGAACCCAGCCCTTATACCTTTGTTCAGGGCGGGCACAACCCTCAGACTGACCACAACACCTGCCAATTGATAATAGGTGAATTTATTGATACAGAGTAATAACAGAAAAGCAGTACAAACAATCGAGCAATTCTATATCTACCAATCATAGGGCTGTTATCAGAGTCGAAGTGCATCTGGCCAAGATGCAGGCTTCATTCTGAGGCATTCTCTCTTAGGTGTCAGCAGTCTGGAGGTGGGATACCGAAGCCCACAGGCCCCCTCTAGTGGGGTGCATGAGACGGGCTACTGGTATGCCCTTGGTCCATGGCAGCCTTGGGGACCCCTCCCAGGGGACAGGGATGGGGACTCCTCTCATGGAGCAAAACGGGGAGGGATGGGATAAAGGGAGGGATGCTTTGTTAATCTCAAGTCTCTGCTTTTGTATTCTCCTTCCCCCTTGATGACTTCTGTTGACTCTTTATCCATGGCTATCTCTGACTGGTTGTCTCTCTATGGTCACACATCCACGTAGCCTTCTGGGCCTTCTGTTAATTTGCTCTGTTCCCCCAAAACTGGGACTTAGACCCCCCTGCTTTCAGGGACCTTGTTGCTGATGTCACTTATCTTGTGTTATGGGACAGGATGGTACATACTTCTTTAGTTCTCAGACTGCGTCCTTGTTGTGTTAGACAACCTGTCTGCCTTGCAGGCTGTGATCTCGGATTATGGCATGTCTCCTTCAATTGTCAGGTTGTGTCCATCTGTTGGCCTTGTTGTGTTAGATAGCCTGTCTGTTTTCAGGGCCATGAGAAGCTGTGTGCGCATCTCCCAATCTCTTTAGAAATCCAGTTAACCCCTGCTGCCCATCTTGACCCCTTTATATTGCATATATCTATACCTATACGCCAATTCCCAACAAAACAGACCTTTAAATACTGTTTTTAAGCCAACGGTTCCTAGAACTGTAAGTCCTTCCTTGTTCAAACAGGTACACCATGCACAGCCAATGGGGCTTAAAGGCATTGTGAGACCTAGAATCCCAGGTCTTACTCACTGACTACATAAGATGTATTTCTGAAATGCCCTTGGAGAATATCCCATAGGAGGGGCTTGTACCATGCTCCTTACATATGCCTCCCCAGAGGAACTGCCTGGAACAGCAGAGGCAAGCATACTGAATTCTCTTCAGCATATCTGCTCTTGTCGTTCATTTTGGGGAAACAGCTATAAATGGGAGTGGCAAAGCAGCTGCCTGTTACTGAAGACCAGAGAAGGACTGACAAATAAGTGTTTGTTTTTTTCTTTCATTCTATCCCTGCCTCCCTCATTTGTATCTTGTGAAGCTGCTTCCCCATTGACTACAGCATGTAAAATAAAATTAGGAAGAATTGCAGTTTGTGTTTGGCGAACAGTAGTAGCAGCATTGGTTTCCTTCTGTGAAGAAAAGCACTTTCAAAATGGGAAGAAAAAAGAAAGGAAAGGAGATGGTCAAGGAACAAAAAAATATAAAGGGAGAGTATCTTACTGTTAGACTTCATCTAACTGGCTAGAGGGACAGTATAAGGGTTTTTTGGAGGGAGTCTGCTTGTTTGGAGGGAAGCTTTTTTCTCTGGGAAAGAGAAACTGGAGTCCTCTCCCTCTTTAAACAAAAAAGAGGAGGTTCCCCAAACTAAAATGCAGGTAGAAAAATGGCGGAAAAGAAGGTAACACGAGATGAGATAAGAAAAGGAAAAATAGAATAGAATCACTTGATTTAACAACTTGAAGAAAAAGAAGTTAATTGTCCTACTTGGTTGTTTTGCTAGACACAGGAAACTGAAATAAGTCTCCTTATATTAAAATGTTGGCCTTTTCTCCTTTTTTGTCCACTTCCTTCATAAGAAGGAATGAGAGGGTGAGAAGAGATAATTTAACTCGTATTCTATTTGACCTGTATAACCAGGAAGGGTCTGTTTTAGGACTGAGTCTCCATACTTATTTAATGCCTGTCTTCTCTACATCAGCCACAAAAAGCTACTAACTGGGTATATCTACACTGTAGTCAGTGTACCGCGTCTAGTTTTAAAGTAATTGGTCGGCATGCTGCTAGCAGTAGATGTCATTACATTGTGAAGATCTGCATGGACTACTTACCCAAGTGTTTACCTTCCCTAGTGGGTGGGAATTGCAACTTGCCCTAAGCTTCCTGCCATCAAAGGTAGACTGCTAGCAGAACACCAGCTACCTAGTGCAAAACTAGTTTAGATCTCTGCTATATAATTAACAGATCAGTAACTTCAGTGTAGACATACTTGGTATATAGTGTGACTTTGCACAAAGTAGGAATGCTAAACCTCAAGCATGTGTAGTCAGAAGTGGTATTTAACAGGCTTTGGCTGTAATGCCATCAGTCCTGGTTTTGAGATGTTTGGAGCGGCAAGGTGCGTTATGAATGGCAATGCAAGCTGCTGTATGATGCTGTTTGCACCCTGCATCTCCACCTCACCTGCATTGTAAATGTGACTCTGGGGCAGAGGGTGGAATCACAGGCAAATGCATGGGATCCTGGAGCGTCTCTAAAGACTGTTGTTTTTCTTTTCCTTCTCAGGGAGGTGCATATATATACATGTCCATTGTTTGCTGAAAGATGTCCAATCTTTCCAATTATGCCTTGATAATGGCTCGCCTGAGTGCCCGGATATTTGGAGAAGTTGTGTCGCCCACAAGCAGCAAGTCCATGCGAGTAGTGAAGCTATTCAGTGAGCTGCCCGTTGGCAAAAAGAAAGTAGTCTATGATTGGTATCCTCCTCACCACACCTTTTCTGGGCTCATGAGGCAACTCCGTTATCTCGGTCTCTACAGGTGATCTTTGTGTGGGTGTGTGTAATGGGGAGAATGGACTGAGGAGTGGGGATATGGGTGTTGTTTGGATTTGTTTAAAAAGCATTCAGAAGGGTTAGTGCAGAAGACAATCAGTACAGAAATATGTACTTCATTACTGTACTCGGGATGGAGAGGGGAAGAGTAAAATGTCTAGTTGTTTGTAAAGATTTCTGTATTGAGGTGAACAGAACCATTTCTGGAACAGCTTCCCAGGGCAGTGGGTTTGTGATTGACAAGCAATTCCATGTCAGTATGAGACACATTGCTTATCCTAGCAGTTGAGAGAGGGAAGATCTTGTCAATAGGAAAGATAATAATCTGGCCATCATGATGGGTGTGTGCCATGCCTGCAAAATACAATTTGGGGAGAAGTTATAGAGCATCCTGCTTTTCCAAGGTGCTGTGAAGTAGAACAGCATGCCAGTGGGCTGAACAACTTTTACTCTGTGTTTTATGTTTTCTTCAACACCTAAACTTGACATTTAGGAGGAAGAGATCAAAAGAGGCCTAACTGCATTCTCTCCTTGCCTGAAAATTTTGTTTATCTCAGGGGTGTCAAAGATATGGCCTATGCAGCCCTATCAGGCCAGATGATTTTGACACCCTCGGTTTGACTGATCTCCGCTTGGAGGTTCCGGGATGGGTGGATCCACATACGCTGTTGAGAAACAAGTGCTTGGCAGGCCACAGAAACAGGTGGAGAGATCAGGGCAGCCTAAGAGTAATTCTTGAGCTTTTTAAGAGGTGTCTAAGATTTTTGCACTGCTATTGTAAACAATTCCAAGGTGCTACTGTAAAATGTTCATACCCTCATCATTGCTACAGTATATTTGGATGGGAGATAGAGTAGCACTTCATAGATTTCATAGACATTAGGGCTGGAATGACCTTGGAAGATCATTGAGTCCAGCCCCTTGCCTGAAGGGCAGGAAGTCAGCTGGGGTCATAGGATCCCAGCAAGATAAGCATCCAATTTACTCCTTGAAGGTGTTCAGTGTAGGTGCTTGCACCACCTCCGATGGCAGGCTGTTCCAGACCTTGGGGGCTCGGACA